ATTAATTTTGAACTCAATATATAGAATTGGGGAAATATTTTTATATTCAGTTAAAATTAAATATGTATAACAGAGCCTTAACAGCCATAAGATTATAAAAATCTCCTTTTATGTATGACAATTTTCTTGCCTCTGTGAAACTCTGAGGATGAAACTGTCTCTGTAAAGTCTTGTGACCTGAATACGTTCTTCATACACTGCCTTAGAAAAAGAATCATAAGATAATTTCAAGTCCTTAGACACACACCTTAGCTTGTTGAACTTGAAATGTCCTGATGATACCTATTAACTGTAGTGTGAAAGTGATATTAAATGAGGGGTGCTGAAGGATGCCACATGATGACCCTGAATAGAAATCTCATGGGGAAAAAGGATCAGTGAGTGAACTGGGTGGGACAAATGTGCATGACCTACGGGACCAGAAACAAGAGATCTCAAAGAAGAGGAAATAATAGGCTTCTGTTAACAGAGGCTATTTTTGAGAAAGTATATTGGCTCACACAAAATAAAGTAGAACAAGGTTTTGGCAATTTCACAGAATAAATATATTTCTGGCTTGAAAGATGTAGCCAAAACTGTTGTGCTAAAAGTTATTTTGGTATGCTCATTTTCTGACTGTTCCAATTTATTTATCTTCTGTTGTCAGGGAATCAAATCTCAGAATTATATTCTTGTGTGTCAGGAAAAGAGTAAAATAAGTATGTTGTTTAGATGGCAGAGTGTAGAATCATTTAGGACATTATTCAAGATCTGATCAAATTTCTGCATTGTGTTTAATTTTTAGATTATCAGAGGGAGCTAGTCAATGTCAACATGATAGAAGAGTGCAGATGAAACTGATAAGAGATGATAGGAAAAAAGGCATCAGGCAGAGGATGTCACTAAAGTAAATGGATGTCATGAGCTGAAACAATAAAAGAGGGTGATAAACACAAGAAAGAAAATGAAGCTACTAGATACTAAGGAAAGCAGAGAAAATGAGCCAAAATCATCTCTGGAACCAAGAAAGGACTTGTTTGTACACACTCTATTATTGCATTCTCTTAAGTGCTTATAAGCAACTGTCACTGCACTTGAAATTGACACAGAATTATACCTTAATACCATTTGTATTTTCCATATCTTTCCTTCCTTCTTCTGCCTTAAATTTTTTACCTGGTCAGGGTAGGGATGAGTTCAATTGATATTAAGAAACAGAGCATTAAGAAGTATTTTATCTCTAGACAGAGCACACTACCTAGAACATAATGAACTAGTTGTTAAAAGATATTAAGATATTCTAGTAAATTTCATGGGGCTTTCATTGCATTTTTCATCATATAATATATGAAGGTGATTAATCATCATTTTATATCAGACTTAAATGACAGTTTCATTATAGAGTCATTCATATTGAGTTAAATCATGTCTAGCTGAGTAACAGTGAATCAAGGCCACACATTTTCTTGTCACCCTTGGTATTGTCATTTCCTTGAGATAGGGTCTATCTCTGAAGTCAGAGCTGGACTTCAATTTGTGATCCTCCTGCTTCAGCTTTCTAGTGTGGGTATTGGAGGTGTAGGTTATCACACCTGGATCAATTATTATTATTTTGATGTCTATAGCAAATATTAATGATATTTAGTACTTGAATAAATCACATTATGCACACTGTCACACTGAATTAACTGTAGCATCTCATCATTATCAAAATTAATAAAGTATATTTGAATAATTATTAGTGATGTAGAAAGTTGCTATAAAGTAAAATGGGCATCATTTTCAGCTTCAAGGTTTGTCAGGTTAAAAATTCTTACCTTTCCTACGTACTGAGTGTCTGTACCTGTGTACTCTTCTAACAAGAAGAACTGATTCCACATCCAGCCACGTTTGGCACGATGGAGCATTTTACCATCATCTTTTGTCAGATTCACTATCCTCTTTCTCAGGAAATGACTGTTATCCTTCTCTTGTAAAGGGAGGTTGTCCACTGTATGCAACACGCAGGTCCAGATCATCAATGGAAGACAATGGTAAGTCCTCATTATCCTCAACTTCAGGAGAATGAATGTCTTTTCTGATTCTCCTACAGAACAGAAGAAAATGCTTTAATTAAGTTGTCTTTTACTTTCAAATATCCTCCAAACTGTAAAATGTTTTGCATGTTATTTAAATTTAATGAAAATATTATGCATACAACAGTTTTGTAAAATACATTAAGGAAATGTTTTTAATATATATTATAGAAGAATGAGCAGATCATATGTATATTGTATATACAGATATAGATATTTTTCAATTAAACTCCTTTAAAAGCCTAAGATGATACTATTAGTCATAAAACTATAAATGTTTATAAATTAAACACTAAAATTCTGAAAAATAAATGCATGACACAGTAATTCTACCTAAAATGCTGTTTCAAACCAAGCAAACATAAATGTAGAATTTTACTTATGTGTATATATATATTTGCCCATATACTTTAAAGAACACTACTTTCTTTGGGCATATACCATTTTTCAAAATTTTCTCCCACTCTGCCTCTCTGCCCTTTCAGAAATGGATTGAATGAAATTAAGTTAGCAAGGAAAATAAAGTTCTTCATTATTCATGACAACTTAAAATGGATAAATGATAATTTTAGGATGAGAAACTAAGAGAGCACTATAAGAAAGCTAGGAAAAACCGTTCAAGGCATTCTTTAAGACAGGGATGTACCAATATTTTTCGTAAACAATCCAAACAGAAGAAACAAAAGCAAAAATGGACAAAAGGTATTTCATAGAACTAATAACTTTTATAGTAAATCAAGTGAATCAGTGAGTAGAGTAGAGTGAGAACCCACAGATTAGAAAGAAAGACATGAAATCAACCACCATATTCAACTTAACATTCAGATATGGAAATTGTAAATTCTTTATGGAAAAAGTTTATCAAAACAATTAAAACACTGTAGCACATCATGAAGCTTGGTCTCTATATGAAGAAACTGAACTCTGTAATTTAAAGAGATATATGCATTTCCATGTGTATTAAAGCTTATTCACAATAGTCCCCAAACAGATATACCCACAGTGTCCAACTACTCATGAATAATGATACTGTGGTAAAGCTACAAATGGAATATTATTCATCTTTTCAAGATGAAATTTTATCAATTGTGTATAACATGAATGAAAATAGAAATAAGCATCGTGAGAGAAATAATGCAGTTACACAGGGGCAAACACTGTATGGTCTCATTTATGTGTTAAATATTGAAAAGATCTGGAGTAGGATAGTGGGTACTAGTGATAGGGTCAAGTAGGATCCATGATTGGTATATCTAGGTAATCCATTGAGTTTCAGTTGCAGAGAAAGAAGAACTTCTGGTGTGCTCTTACAGAAAATACAAATAGAAATAGTTCCATATTTCAAAAAGCTAGATGAAAATACATTGAATATTTCTCTGGGACCAAATGACAGAGGTTTGAGAAATAAATCTGTTTAAACAGATTTAAAATTTATGTATTGTTCATAGGCAGCAAAGCACTGCATATGGTACAACTAATGCTCACTTTTTATATTTCTCTTTCAACAGTTAAAAATATGTTTCAGGCCGGGCGTGCTGGCCCACACCTTTAATCCCAGAACTCTAGAGGCAGAGGCAGGTGGATCTCTATGAGTTCAAGGCCAGCCTGGTCTACATAGTGAGCTCCAGGACAGCTGGGGCTACAGAGAGACCCTGTTTCAAAAAGACCAAAAAAAAAAAAGTTTCAAAAAGATGTCACAGCTTCATGACCACGTAGTCTTCATAGTCTTTATCTCTCTTTTTCTAGTCCTCCTTCTCACTCTCCCCTTTGCTTTGCTTCTTGTATTTTGACTAGGCCTTCCCATATGGTAAGATACAGCAGTAATAGCATCTCTCAAGCTCAGATTTAACATCATCCATCACAACAAGTAATTGATGTGTTTTTCTGCTTTTTGCTTTGTTTTGAGGAAGGGTCTTACTATGTGTTCCAGCTGGCAGAAAACTCCTTGTTTAGGGTCAGGAAATCTTCCAGTCACAAACCATCAAGTACTAAGACTATAGACATACACCAACTATGTCCAGTTATGATAATCTTTTCCAATTTGAGTTTGAAAATAAAACCCATGAATGGGGTCTGATTTAACAGGTTTAGATTAAAATATAATGCTGGAGAAAGCATAGAGCACTTCAGTAGTCAGGCCATGAAGAAATAGAGCTAAAACATGATTCTCTAATTTAGCCTCTTGCCTTACTGTTCACAACATTCTAAAATATGTATTAGTTTGTCTTCATACCAAGTGTTCTATTCATAGAAGAGTAATCTGAGCATGACATTTAACATATTATTGTCTAGAATTGAAGTTTTGTCATACATTGGTCACAGGCATTTCAAATTCTAATTTTATAACAGCATATGCATATGTGAAGGCCAAAGGCCAAACACAGAAATATTTGAATAATTTGACAAAGCTAGTAAAATGTATTGGAACTTGGCTTTACGTTCATCATCACAGGCATGATTTTTATATAATAATACATTTTAAACAGCATACAACTCAACGTGCAATTTCAATCACATCATCATCACCATCATCATCACTATTATATTTATCGTCATCACCATCATCACCATCATCACCATAGTTATCACCATCATTACCATCAACATCACAAGCATTACCACTATGACCATCATCACCTTATCCATAGTTTACTCCACAATAGCCTGAAGACACATGGGTATCAGGAAGCAGTTAAGTGAATAGTGGTTATCAGGTAGTGTTAGAGAGACATCCTATGGTGAAAAACTACTGGTATTCCCATCATATCTATGTAACCTAATTGCCGTATCTATTATTTTTAAAATATTCTCTACCAAACTATGTGATAGAATGAATGAACTGCAGTAGAACCATAAGCTTCATTAAAGGAAGCCATGAAGACATAAATTCCTTAATGTGGCCAACTGATCCTAAATTGGTCACCCTGCCTTTGCTCAAACCTTATCAGCTGGTCACCCCCCAGACTGAGAGAGACTGTTAACAAAAACAACCTGTCTCCTTTTGTGCCATAAGATAACTTGCCTGTTCTTCTTGGGAAAATAATCTTAGGAAGAAGACGATCAATTACCCCAAGGACACTAGACCCTGGCACCAAGCAAATTTCGGCAGCTGCATTCAACAGAGTTCCTGGATAAGTCCAAACTGCTCTGCTCTCCATGGCAGATGCCCTTTTGCCGAGGAAGGGTTTGTCAGCCCTGTGATGGGTTCTTTTCCTGTAGCATGTCTGGCTCTAACCCTTATTTGTAAACTTTAATATCTTTCCTCTTTCTGCTCTCCTAAATCTAACAATTATGCTATTGGGATTTAAATAACTCCAAAATAAGAGAATTGCAAAGCTTTATTGTTTTCTGATACTGAATACTCAGATATTTCTGTCAATTGCAGGGACTTCTGTGTTTACTCATAATTCCGTGATTCGTAGCAATTTAAATCTCAGAAACATATGTTAAAAATCTGTAATTTCAACTCATGTGCAGAAGTTTTGATGGAAAAATAGCATCCAAGGTCTGGAGACATGGCTCAGTGGTTAAGAGCATTGACCGTTCTTGCAGAAGACACAGGTTCAATTCCCAGCACCCATACAGTGGCTAACAACTGTCCATAACTCCAGTTCCAGGGGATTCAATGTCCTCTTCTGACCTCCTAAGTGCTGCAGGACATGGGTGCACCTACGTATATGCAAACAAACATACTCATACATGTAAAATTAAAAATAATAAATAAAATAGTTAAAAAAAGAAAAATTACATCGAATTGCCACTGAGCTATATTGTACTCCATATCTTGCACATCGGTGATGGTACAGTGGGAAATGAACAGTCATACAACTTGAGAGACAGCTGCTTTCTTAACTTAGTAAAATATAAAACGCTGAACTGCCAGTGGTTACCTTGGTTTCTTGTGCAAAATTACATTTGGCACTAATCTTGCTCATTAGCCTTGCAGGAGAACTTGAATTACATTGTTCATTTTCTGTGGTATAGTTTAAATTAGATGCCCTTTTGTGGAATGTAGATATTTGAATAGGAAAATCTACTTGTTTTGGATGAATTCAGAGATTTAGTCAGGTGCTAGAATCTTATACAACCTTGTAAGTTAGAGTAAGAAATTCACATTGGCTTTCTCTGCAGTCAAAGGCACTTGAGGATTTCGGCAAAACATTTAGAGATCAATCTGGCTAACTAGAAACAGGTTAGAGTATAAAAAAGGTTTAGAGGAGACATTGATCAGTTCTCTTGCATCAGTTAAGTAAGAAATGATGGTAGTTGATAGAGGGGTCACTTGAACTGAATACTGATTACAATGATTCTCTTATAAGAATCTGACCCCTTAATAAGTAACACACACACATACACACACTCACACACAAACACACATTTGCTTCAGTTTTCATGTCTTTGCATTAAGGGCTTGCACAAGCAATATGGCTGCTACTGCCACAGTCCTACAGCTTTGCAAGTGTCCCTCAGGTTGTCTCCACAAGGGCCTAACAGCTGTTGAAATATGCAAAACTCACTGATATCCTGCAGTGTCATGCTAGAGCCTGAACTGTGAACCCAATCTCCCTCATCCTCAGCTTTTGGCTTCCAGTCCTGCAATCTCTTACATTTTGCTTCCCATTTCCTCTCTTTTAAACTAAGAATGTTTATCCAATAAAATTCCTTTTCATTGTTCCTTATAAGTTATACTTTATTCTTAAAAATATTAATATGCTGACCCCTTTTTAACTGTTTGGTATTACTGATAAGTGTGTGTGTGTGTGTGTGTGTGTGTGTGTGTGTGTGTATGCACAATGTACTGAGCCCATCTAGTGGTGCTGTACGTACATGTGTTGAGGGCTGACCACTTGAAATTGGAAACTACCTGGGTACTCATTCATGGAGAAAGCTTATATTCCTCTCTTCAATCTTTAACCCCCTCTAGATATTTATCTAAATGTTCAGACTTGTGAACTTCCCCCCATCTCTTTGGTATGACAGCTGGTTTTATCATAGTATAGGCCTTGTTTCA